CCTTGCCCCTGGCGGCAGCACCACGAGCATGTACGAGGCATGGTTGTCCCAGTGCAGGATGTGACCACGGCTGAGTGATAGAAGCCAAGAGATCGGTGCCGAGAACACGAACCCTCCCACAGGGCAGCCCTGACATTCCAAGGGCACGGCTGTGGAGGCCTCCCTGGGGGCGGCGTCAACCTGGGCACCCCAACTCCCTCAGTCAGGCCCACGTGGCAGTCCGAGAGGTGCCCGGGGCGTGAAGCGGCCTGTGGGCCCGCGGGGCTGAGGAGGCGGAGCTCTCCGGGGAGCCAAGGGCAAGCAGAAACGGCCCACGGGTGGTCCTCACTGATGCGAACCTTCCAGCGATCCCCAGCCCGCGCCTCAGCCGCCACAGGGGGCCGTGGCCAGACGGCGGACGCACGTGGTCCAGCCCACGGACTCGGGATGTCCAGGCCCACGGGTGGCCGTGGGGATGTTGGGGGGAGCCCCAGGGGCGCTCAGCTACTATGAACCCCCTGTGGGGATGTTATGTTTGCTTCCTTTGTGACTTCCTTCTTAAAGGAAAATGCCAGAAACAGTTCTGGCTGGGCCACGGTTTTTGTGAGTTGGGCTCAGAATGGAGGCTTAAACACACTCCATCTGCGCCGGGAGAGCGCCTGGCCAGGTGAGCACGCTGCCCGTCCAGTGTGTGCCCGGGGGCCCTGCCCCTGCCCCTGTCCGGCCTGGCGCTCCCGGCCTTCACCCTGGCGGGTCTATGGCCTCCCAGGTAATTCCACATCAGGAAGCCCAGAGTCGGGGCCAGACTTGTGGCTCTGGGTGCCTGGCGGGGGAAAGGGGGATATGGCCGTCTCTCGCTTCCTTTCCGCTGGGGGCGGCTGCGGTCAGGCCGGGCACCACATTTAAGAACATCCCGTATGTGTTTTTCCCGAACTGGTCCCACGACCCCTTTCCCAAATCCCGCCAGATGTTTTCTGGGAGAGACCTCGTTGCTCACGTAAACAGAGGAGCGTGTTTTCCCAGGCAGGCCGGCCACAGGCACCAGCTCCGTGACCACCGGCAAGAGAAATCTCCATGGGACTGGGAAGAATATATTTTAGGTCTTTGTGTGTGGGTGAGCAGTGCCCAGAAATAGACCTGGGTCTGGAAGGGGGAAAGACAGGCTCTGCTGTGCATGGGCTCTCGACAGTCACTTCTCCCTACTCCAGGGCGCCCCATGAGATCGGCCCCACGCCCGGTTGTCTCCTGGGCCGGGACGCTGCCGCCTCTCAGATCCTGCTGCCCTCTGGGGCTTCCCCAAGCTGGGGAGGCAGCCTCGAGCTTGTTGGCCAAGGGTGACCATGCACATAAGCTGGCGTGGCCTCAGCTGCCCGGTGGCCAAGGAGATGTGGTCCGGAGCAGACCCTTCCTGCCAGCCGGGGGCTGGGCAGGGATACTAAGAGCACCAGGGCCTCCCCTGACTACGAAGCAAGTCTTATACTGCACAGATTTGCAGATGAGGGAATGGGCTCAGAGAGGTCGAGTTACTTGCCAGAGACACACAGGGATGGGACAGGGTGCCGACTCAGGCCACCAGATCTCAAGGTTTTATGTGGTGCCTACCGGACCCGCCCATGGAGGGCAGCAGGAGGATCTGGGCTCCCCTCTCCCACCCCCCCACCCCCCGGGCTGGGTCCTCCAGCTCTCACTGGCATATGTCTGTCCACAAGCCTGTGTGCTGTGTGCCCAGCCCTGGGCCATGCCAGGACTCCAGGCTCCCCGCAGTCTGCCCCGCACCAGCCCACTTCTGAGCCATCGCCCATTGGGTCTCTGCACTGAACGCCCTGGTCCTGGCTCGTTCCTCGGAGGCAGCTTCAGGCCCCAGATCCTGGGCTCATGCTTCTTGGAAGCTTCTCTCACTGTGTAGATAGGCTCCCTGCACAAAGCCCTGCGGGGCTCTGAGCTGCAGATTCAGGGCGAGCACAGTGGTGCCCAAAGCTGTGTCCGCCTGGCACCTGCAGGTGTGACCTTATTTGGAAGAAGGGTCTTTGCAGGTGTAAGTCAAGGATCTCTGGGTGAGATCACCTGGGATTTAAGGTGGGCCCTCAATCCAATGCCAGGTGTCCTTAGAAGAGAAAGGAGAGAGAGATTTGAAACAGAGAGCTACAGGGGAGAGGCCACGTGGTGGCAGAGGTGGCTGGAGGGGTGTGGCCACAGCCCAGGGACACCTGGAGCCCCCTGCAGCTGGAAGAGCCAGGAAGGACCCTCCCCCTCGAGCCTCCAGAGGGAGTGTGACCATAAGGACACCTTGATTTCGGACTTCCAGCTCCAGAGCCATGAGAGAATGAATCGTTTTAAGCCAGGTGGTCACGTGTTATGGCCGAACTAGGACACGGAACCAGGACACTCGTCTAACGAGCTGGCAGAGTGTGCCTCAGCGTCCTTGCTCCGGAACGAGGACAGCGGTAGGGCCCAGCCCGCAGGCTCGTGGTGAGGACCGAATGAGCAAGCACACAGCAGGGCACGGAGCGTGGGGACTGGCGCGTTGTGAGCGGCCCGTGGGTCTCAGCCTCCTGGCCATCGCCGTCCCCGTTGTGACCGTGTGTGGCTTTCGTCCACGCGTGGGGTGCGTGCGCTGTGTGGATGGACGCTGTGGGAGGGGAGGCCCCGAGCAGGACTGGGCCTCGTGCTGCGACAGCATGGGGGAGGCCTGTGGGCTGGTGCTGAGACCGAGGCCTGGGACAGGGCGGCTCCCCCGGGCCCCGTGGGCGGCCTGGGGGCCTCAGTGTGCGCTCCGGCAGAGGAGACGCAAGCCAGGACCCGGCCAGCGGGTGTTCAACCTTCTCTCGGAGTCGGAGGCAGCCCCAAGTGGAGTGCAGCCTCAGGGACATGTGGGGTGGAGGTTGGGTCCATCTGTAACTCTGTCTGCAGGCCTGACCCAGAAGCGTTCCCTCCCGCTGCCCAGCTGCCCGCGTTCTCCTGAGTGGCTGTGAACGTGGGCGTCATGGCTGATGGGTGATTGTATTTGGCCCGCTGAGGATGTTTTTCTTAAAATTCATCCTCAAGTGACTTTGGCTCCGTTGCTTTCCCCCCCACACCTTCAGTGAACCCATGGGCTATGCCCATTCCCAGACCGGTGACGGGACTTGGGATCTGGGAGTCAGAAGCAGGCCCGGAATCAGCCGGCCCTGAGTGCGCGGGGCTGAGCCCACACGGGCGACACCCTCCCTCCCAGCCTGATTCCCTTTCACCAGGACTCCCAGGCAGTCCCTTTACTCCTCAGAACCATGAAAAGGAGAGCTGGGTGAGACCTCCGTCTGGGGGCAGCCTGGGCTCTAAGCCCTGGGGTCCCCTCGAGGAGTCCGATGGACCGCGGGCCCCTCCGCCGTGGACGGCTCTGGCTCAGGGACAAGTCCTGTTTCTCTGCTTTTTGTTGTGGCATCAACATCGCAGGGCACCCCAGTTATCTTGGGGTGCCTAGGAAGTCTGCTGCGCCTTGTATTACCTCCTTGCTGCTGTGGGCTCCAGCCAGGGACTCTCCTAAACATGAAAGTCAGCGGGCGACAGAGAAGAATGGAGGGTCACTAGGGGCATCGTGCCTCTCACCCCCGAACATGGGTGCTCTTGAACGCGGACCCCACTCCTGCTAGTGCAACAAGCCGCGGCCCCCTCTGCCCCGACACTGCAGGAATAATCGAGCACCGTAATGGCATGCTCAGAAGGCGCCCACGCAGTGACTCGATGTGCGCCTGCGTCGTGGAACGTTACACGGATGAGGTCATGAGCGCAGCCACCAGGCCTCAGAGTCAACTCCTTTTCTTTCGTTGCGGCGAGCACGCGTAAGACGTCAGCGGCGTCCGAGCACCCAGCGCTGTGTCGGGACTCTCGCCGCCAAGCTGTACGTTAGGGCTCAGAACCCGTCTTCCTGTACCTGAAAGTTTGTGCCCTCCCACGTACGTCCCCCCGCGTCCCTCACAGCCACCAGTCTACTCTCTGCGAAATCCGCCTTTTTAGACAAACGTTATTAGGTTCCACATACAAGGGACCACATGGTCTTTGTCTTTCTGCGTCTGGCTGATTTCATATGGCGGAAGGCCCAGGTGCATCCGCGTCGTGGCAAAGGGCAGCGTTTCGTCCTTTTGCGCGGCTGGGTGCCACTCGGTTGTGCGCACGCACTCCTTTATCCGTTCTTCCGTCGATGGGCGTGGGTCGTTTCCCCGTCTTGGCCGGTGTGGACGGTGCTGCATGAACAGGGTGCACACGTATCTCTTCAAGGTCCAGACGTCGTTTCCTTGGGATTTACGCCCCAGGGGGGGAATGTGGCGTCGCGTGCTGTTTTTAATCCCGGGGAGAACCTGGGCCGTGCCTCCGTCTCCCCAAGCCCGGCGTTCCCGTCGGTGAAGCCAGGGCACAGCCGCTGACTGTGAAGGGCCGTGGTGTCCGCTCTGATGGAGCCTGTGGCCGAGCTGCTCCCAGCAGCCCTGGGCTGTTGGTCGCTGTCATCCAGACACGCTGGCTCAGCGGGGAGCGACTCCTCCAAGCTCACAGCAGTTCGGGGGGTGCTCGGCTTGAACAGGCCCACCCTCGAGCCCCTGCACCAGGCTGCCCATTCACATGAACGTGAAGACCATCAGCGCAGACACAGGGACCCCAGGGGATTGCTGGGCGCAGGCCAAGGTGTGGCCTGACCCCACAGAGGGAGGATGTCCAGAGGGGGTCACCTTCACTTCCTCACCCCTGCTCGGGGACGGGGCAACAGCTCTCTGTTGAAAGTCCCTCTTTTGTGGCCCTGCTGTTTGCGCTCCTGCAAGCTCCCCAGGTGATTTGGACCCTGGGACTCCTTCTGGGCCCTTCTGGCTCCTCGCCACCGTGCGAGGGGGAGAGTCTGACAGCGCCGTGAGGCTGTGCCAGGAGGGGAGAGCGAGGGGCCGCTGACAGCAGCCCCGCAGGGCGGCTGCCCCGTAGACCCCGGTTGTGCCCGTGGGGCGATGGTTTTCGACCCAGGGCTCTCCACGCTGACTGAGGCCTTCTCTCCTTCCTAGACCAAGATTCACGGGGTTGGATTTGTAAAGATCCACGCACCCTGGAATGTGCTGTGCAGAGAGGCCGAGTTCCTGAAACTGAAGATGCCCACGAAGAAGGTTGGTGCTTCTGTGTGGACGCCGAGGTCCACGCGTGGCGCAGGTGCCCGGCAGAGAACATTGCCAGGAGGGGCTCGGTGGGGAGAAGCCGAGTGAGGTTCGGAGCCACCCCCTGGGAGGGCAGTGGGCCCCCACATCTTGATTATGGAGGGTATCGCACAGCCCCAGGGGGTCTTCTGAGACCCCAGACCAAACCCACCGGGAGATGGTGCGGGCAGAGGGGTCAGGGGAACCTGTTACAGATACGAACATGCTGAGACTTCCCGCTCTGGTTATTCCCACTCGTGGTGTCTTGGCTAATTCATCAGACTCCTTCTGATCACATTGCCTAGCTTGCTGGGATTTTTCTTTTTAATCTCTGAACGCTTCCGGCTGAGAAGCAATCTGACAGTATGTTCCTGAGCTCAGCGAGGATCCGTGTTTTCCTTCATGTGCGGAAAGGAAAGCAGGGGGGCGAAGCTGTTCTCGGGGGACAACCAGCCCCGGGCTCCTCAAACACACTGAGCTCGTGTGGATTACCTCTTTTGAAACAAAACAAAGTCTGGAGGCAGGTTTTCTGGGATGTGTTGTGATTGCATTTTGGAGGGACTCTCTTCAAACTCAGAGCTTGGAGGGTTTATCTGGAAACTGGGCGCGGAGAGGGCACTCTGCCCCCCTCACCCAGAGCTCTGTTCCCAGGACATGCCATCTCGGTGGGGTGGGACGGTCCTATGACCTTCTGAGAATAGATTCCAAGGGTCACGGCCCAGCGGATGACGCGGACACCCCCCCCCTTCCCGATCTGGTCTGCAGCTCTATCACATTAACGAGACCCGTGGCCTCCTGAAGAAGATCAACTCTGTGCTCCAGAAAATCACAGACCCCATCCAGCCCAAGGTGGCAGAGCACAGACCCCAGACCACAAAGAGACTCTCCTACCCCTTCTCCCGGGAGAAGCAGCACCTGTAAGTGGGAGTCCCCCACCCCTCCCGGCTTGCCCCTTCCCTGAGGGCCCTGCTGTGGGGACCCCACAGTGTGGTACATGACATGGGAGATGCAGCTTGCAGGACAGTCCCCTGAGGCCAGAGATGCTCTCCGTCCCCCCAAAGAAGTGGGGGTTTCAGCCCCTGAAGCCCATTCTCGGAAGAGCTTATAGCTCTTCAGCATGGAAGGGGTTCAAGAATGATTTCCAAGATTACTGTTAACTGAGGAATTACGGAGGGAAGAATCTCGTCCTCCCACTGGGGACATTTAGGAAAACGTGCATGCGGCTTGGCTTAAAGCCCCAAAGCAGTGACCTGGGCATCTCCCCGCTCCCACCCAGTTCCGTCCCTCCGGGGACGTGTTCCAGTGAGAGGGTCTGGTTAACCAGGCCTCCTGAAGCTGCCGAGCTCTGGGAGGCAGGAACTAAAAAGCAGCCGCAGCTGGAGTCCTGAGGCTCCAGGGACGCGCAGCCAGCAGCGTTGCCTGGCAGGGCTGCACCTGTTCTAGAACCTTCCCTCCTACCCTGCTCCCGAGGGCAGTGGGTCAGTGGCGGCTGCAGGCCTCCGTGGGGCCTCACTGGACAGAGCTGGAGCGTGGGCAGTGGTGGGAACAGAGAGGGCCTGGGCTCTGGGACCCAGAGGGACACGGACGACAAGCGGGGGCGGGATGAGGGGGTCTCCAGGATGCCACTGGTCTCGCGGGATGTGGAGAACTGTTTCTCAGCTCAGAACTGGGGTTTCTGCCTGGCAAATGCATTAGTCACAGGGCAGGGGTCAAGCGCTGCACTCCACTGTTACTTCTTGATCCTCTTGATCCTCCCGGGGATCAGAAATAAGACATTTTTAAAAAGCAGCCCCCAGCCCAGCTCCTTATACTGGCTGCAGGATGGGGACTCCCAGGGCGCCCTCTTCTAGGACCCCCAGTGCCCCGGCCTCCCTTGGCTCTGCCCCGGCTGCCTCCCTTGGCACCCCCTTGCCAGGCCTGGCTCACCTCCTGGCTCCATGGGCACAGAGCCCCCCCTCCCCAGCTGTACCCTGAGTGCCTTGGGCACTGGGTGACCTTTCCCAGAGACATCCCTCTGCCCTCAGGAAACCTTAGGAACTGTGTGGGGGCCAAGACCTCAGCACTGAAACTGTGAAGTATGGGGAGACTGTCTTCAGTATTAGCAGTCTGATGGTGGGACGGACGGCACGGTCCCCACCCCCGGCAGCGTTGGCACAGAGACCGAGGGCATCAACAGAAGCAGATCCTTGGGAGGGAGGTGTGGGTGTGCAGGCCTCCCGGAGGGGGCTGGGGGAATGACACGGACTGTTCCAGATGCCCGGGGTCAGGGCACACCTGGCATTTAGAGGGAGTTTGCCCAGTGTCATGGCCATGGCTCATGGGGACCGTGTGCTTTCCCAGGGCCTTGGAAACCCGGAGAGCCGACTCCAGTGAACTGTATGTCTCTCTCTCCCCAATATTTCAACAGATTTGACCTGTCTGACAAGGATTCCTTTTTCGACAGCAAAACCCGAAGCACAATAGTAAGTACCCCTCGTGGGAATCGCTGGCTCACCAGCAAGGTGGCTCCGGGGAGAAGCGGATGATAATTTCATTCCAGCAGAACTCTTCCAGGTGGAAGCCAGTTCTAATTGCCTGTGACAGCGATAATTAGAATAATAAGTCAGAGAGGCTGTGGGGGCCTCAGGGGAGGCCCCCAGTCCTCCTCCACAGGAGGAGGAGAGTGAGGTGGAGCCGCAGGAGAGGGGCAGGGGGACTCCAGACCCCTCAGCACCTGTCCCCGGCCTCCCTGCCCTGGCCCTTAGTGGGGCTAGCGGGGCCCCGGACCCGGAGGTTTCCACGCAGGCAGGCCTGGCAGGAGTAATGGGGCGATGGAGGCAAAGCCGTGTGGGTTGGGTCAGATTTCCGGGGCTGTGCCAAAGGAGCAAGTGGAAGTTTGAAATCTGACCAGGCCACCCTGCCCTATTCAAGGTATTGGTTTAATGTTTATCCATCGGCCGCCAACTTGTCCACCGGCCAAGCTGGGCCGTGCATGGCTCAGGACCCAGCGTTTATCTGCACAAGAAATTAACCTCACAGCCAAGCTCCCTGCCCAGAAAACCCAGCCTGGAGGGGAGAGGTGCAGGGCTAGGGGGTGGGGGGCAGCCACTTGACCTTGAGCAGATAACTGCCCCTCACGGCCACATCCCCAGGCTGGCAGGTGGCCAGGGGCGGGGACGGTGGTGCAGGTCGCATTGGTGAAGGGGGCTCAGGCCGCTGCCGGGAAGGCAGGTCGGGGTTCCATCTGCCCTCTGTCCCCTCCCAGCCTCATGACCTGGGGAGGCACGGAGCCTGATTCAGAACGAGAGAATGGTTCTGGCTTCCAGCTCAGAGGGCAGCGGTGCACCTCCACCCAGGGCGGCCTGGGCACAGCGCGGTGATTTATATTACCTGTGTTACTGGTTAATCTTGGCAATTAAATCTCATCATAATAAATAAGAAGGAACTCGTTTATGTGAAAACATCAGCCAGCTGGGGGGGCTCGGGCTGACAGGTATCCACGGAGGGAACACCTCCCTCAGACATCGAGCACTTGGGAGAACCGTCCAGTTTCACTTTTTCTTCATTAGGAAATAGAAAATGCATGTGTGCCCCAGCCTTTCACATGATCTGGGGCTGCCAAAATGCTCCCCAGAGGCACGGGGCAGGGAGCAAATTTGTGAATTCACTCTTGCTCTTGCTGGGGGGGGTTGGGGGGAAGTACATAGGTGAATGGAAAGCTCTAGACCCCATCTCATTGGAATCTGCTATAAGATAGAGTTCAGTCCATGATCCCAAGTCACAGAAAGCAGTTCTGTCCATAAGTAACTGAACAATCCATTTTACCTCTGGGGATTGGGGGGGCTCTCTCCCAGAGACCTCGAGGGCTGGTTTGTAAACTGGCCGATGCTCCAGAGAGACTGACGTTCAGAACTTTGTCCTTGGGTAGTCAGGCCCCATGGTCTTGGAGACCTGACAGGATCCGGCGTTGGGGTGAGGTCATTCTAGGCAAAGGTGTGGAGGTCGACAGCCCTCCTTGCCTCCTTTCCCATGCTCCTGGCGTCGGGGTCGCCCAGCGTGCAGGTGGGTAGGAGTCAGGATCAGCAGGAAGAGCCGGTCTTGGGACTCCCACCTTCAGCCTGTAGGCGCTAGGGAGCCATAGAAGGTTGCAGAGCAAGGTTTAGGATGTGGTCAGATCTGTTCGAGCAGGATGATGGCCAGCTGTGAGAGGGCAGGTGGAGGCAGATGTGGGCTTACAGGTGGTCATGAACGGGGCCGTGACCCACCTGGATGGGAGGTGGTAGTTCCGGGAGAGTCAGCAAGGTCAGGATGGGGCCCCCAGTTAGATTCGGGGGTACTGGGGAGGGGGCCGACGGCCTGAGTGGCTCATTCGTGCAGTTATTGGTGGGAGGGAGGGAGGAGGCAATGGGCGCCTTTACGGAGGAGGACGGGGCACTCCCGGACAAGAGCAGAGTGGGAAGGCAGAGCAGGGGGTAGCAGCTGTCCTACAGCCACTTAGATCTCGGGGACCAAGTGCTTCTGGCAGAGGGAACAGCGAGGGTGAAGGCCCTGGGCCTCGGGAGAGGGTTTGGTGAACGGGCGGAGCAGCGAGGAGGCCGGACGCAGGAGAGCAGGTGCAGGGCCGGGGGCTGCCACGGGCAGCCGGTGCGGGAGCCGAGGGCTTGGAGGGAGGATTGCTGCTCTCACTGCCATGGGTCCCGGTGGCTCTGAATCCCAACTCCCTTCCCAGCCGGAAGGGAGGGTGGCCCGTCCCACGGGGCGCGGCGGACAACTCTCAACCCCAAACAGCACGACACGGTGGGTGCCTCACAGAGCGAAGTGAGAGATCGGGGTCCTCCCATCCCGCCGGCTCCTCCCTCAGAACGGCACAGGCCTGGCGCTGGGGACGCGCATCCGTAGAAAGACTTGCCGTCTGTCCTCAGAGGAGTGTGGGCGGCTGTCGCTTGTCGCGCTCGACCACGTCCCGTTTTGGCCGTCATGTGACAGTCTCTGCATGCCCTGGCTGCCTCAAGTAACTGTCTGCCCCTCCTTTTGTCTCTGCAACAGGTCTATGAGATCCTGAAAAGAACAACGTGTACCAAGGCCAAGTACAGCATGGGTGAGGACATTGCTGGGGCCTGAGCTCAGCACTCCCCTCCCAGCATTAATCTTGCCTCCCATCACCTCCGTGGGAGGCGGGCAGCCGGTTTGGGGGTTTTTAGAAGGTTTTGATTTAAGCTGGTGTAGCTGTCAGGCAGGAGAACTGTTCCAGGACCGCGGGGCCGCTCTACGGCCGTGTGTCAGCCTCTCCCTGCAGAGGTGGTAAATCTGGCTGCTGGAAGCTGGAGGGGTGACCAAGGCGCCGTCACCCTCTGTTGACCCTCACAGTCCAGGGGGAAGTTGTTAGGGTTCCGGCCGGGGGTGATGGCCCAAAGCAGCTCCCCGTGCCTGGGAAGCAGCCAGACATGCACCCAGCTTGGAGTGGAAGGGGACCCACACAGCTCCACACTGGGCCTTGCTGAAAAGCACGTCCCCGACACACACCCCAGTTCCAGAACCTGCCATGAAACCATCCCAGCTGGGCACCCTGTGTTCCGGTTTATAGCACACACCAAGCCACTGATGCAGAATTTTCCCGACCCAAGTGTGTCGAGTCGAACCCCCACCCCCACCCCAGCATGGGTCCCCCGCCCACAGCTGCAGTCTGAGGTCACCAAAACCCAACACTTCAGAGCAAAGGAATGCCTTTTGCTAGGGTTCCTCCTTCTTACGCTTGTGCCCACCCCGCTGAGAGCTGTGCGTGCCCTCCAGGGCCACGCAAGGGGTCTGTGCATCCAGGACAGAGAATCCTTGCACACTTGGCTTCCTGCAGAGGGGAGAATGCCTGCTGGGACCAAAGCAGAGAGCAGCAGGGTAGGGGAGTGCTGGGGGCCGGGCCCAGGACGATGGGCCCTCGGGGTCAGGCAGGCTGCAGGTTCCCTGGCCAGTATGGCTGATGGCCAGTCACAGGGACTCCTTCTGGGCCTGCAATCTCTGAGCCCGTGTCCTAAGTCAGTGGGAATGGCGGGGGGGGGTCCTATCCAGGGGTCAAGAGGAGCTCGGGAAAACTGTCAACCATAGGCCCGGCCCACCTTAGACCGAGCGAGAGCCTCCAGAGTGGCCCAGGTCAGCAGAGGTGGGAGGAAGTGTGGCTCCTGTCCCAGCCTCAGTCTGCATGGAGGTTCCCTGTAGGGTCCCTTCCGGTGCAAACCTGCATGGTTGCACTGAAGGTTTGCAAAGAGCCCAGGGTCTGGGGGCTTCTCAGCTAGAGTAGATCCCTGCTCTGGGTTGTCCGCAGGGGCAGGCATCTCTGGCGAATCTGGTGACAGAGCAGATAGATCAAGGGTCCTCGTCTGCACCCCCACTTCACCTCGGTGCCTTGCCTGAAAGCCCTACTCACCTCCAAATTCACTCATTCAACTTGCAGCCAGTATCGATGGATTCTGTCACCCTCGGGATTTATGTTCTGGGGGAGAAAATAGATAATAAGAAAAGCCAGAACATCATCTTGTAGGGATTGGGAAGGCTGCCAGGAGGATTTAGGAACAATGATCGGAAAAGACCTTTCTGAGGAGGAGACATTTGAGCAGAGATCTGAAGAAAATGAGGGGTCCAGACCTGTGCAAAGGCCCTGTGGCAGCACCGTGTTGAGAGTGTTCTAGCAACAGTAAGGAGCCAGCGAACCTGAATCAGACCCACATACACTTTCATTACAGATGAATTTTCATGCACGTGGGCTTTAGCTGGATGCTTCCACCTGTCTCTGGTTTGGATTTCTAAGCATCCCTCAGGTACCCTGGTCATTCCAGATCACTAACAGAGAAGATGATCTGTTTTTAAATGGAGCTCAGGAAGACACTTTCCCACCATTTCCCAGTGGCGTAGTAAAGGGTGGGCCGGCTAGGCCACTGAGAAACCTACAAAGCCTCTTTGGCCAGGCCGAGGGTTCTGTGACCAGCAAAGGGCTCCTGGAGACTCTGAGCAGCACTGGCCCCCGAGGGCGTGCGCGAGATCAGGCTTCCAGGAGCCCCCATCTCCACGCGTGGCCGGCTCGGCCTTCCCTCCCCAGCACGGTCTCCTGGGGCCGGGCTCCGAAGGCACAGCTCCGGGTTCTGGGAGGCGCAGGTGACTTGCGTAGCGTGTCCAGTGCAGGGTCTGGGACAGCTGTCAAGGCCGTGGCCACTGCCCCACCACCCCCCAGGCATGCGGACCGCCGTGAGTCAACGCTTTCTCCCCCAAATGCAGCTTTGGTCCTTTCAGACGTTTTCATGTAACTAATAGCCCGATGTACAAACAGGGCAAGGAGAGGGAAGAAAGAAGGACTCTGCCCTTTTAAATAAAAGGCGAAAATGTAGTAAATACGGTAAGTGCCTCCGCCCCCGCCGTGGGGCCCGCAGGCCTCCCCCTCGGCTTTCCCAATCAACCTAAAATCTAATTCCAAATTGTATGTGTGTTTTCCGACACCATCAATTTTCCCACCCGTATTTTTCTCGTGATTCAGCTTTTCTAACCACTTGAAATCCATCTTTCTCGTCTGTAGGCTTGCCCTCAAGCAGGTGTGGGTAGTTAGTGAATTGCAGGCTCGGGGGTACCTCCTTCCTCCCAGGCATAACTGTCTCTTGGGGTTTCCTCTGTGTCTTCCTAATCCTGCCGATAGAGCATGTTTTTACCGTCTCCTAGTCAAACCTGGGGAGGAAACGCCAGAAAGGTGGCCTGGCTCTGTGCGGCCAGGTGCAGCGGGCTTTGAGAAAATTCTTGGCGACAGACACGGTCCTGGGACTGCTCTGTTGGCAAAGAGAGCGGCAGGAGACATACCTGGTCCGTAATCCTCTCTCTGCCTTTATTTTTAAGGTATCACGAGCCTACTGGCCAATGGCGTTTACTCGGCCGCCTACCCCCTGCACGATGTGAGTAACCTTGACAAAGCGTTCGCGCCTGCGTTATTGGACGCCCCAAATCCCCCAGGCCACACCCCCAGGGAGCTCTCATTATCCCGCGGTCTCGGCTTCCTGCTTTGGCTCTTCTGTAAATGTCAGCTGCACACAGTCCTTCCTGGCCAGACCAGGCGGGACCAGGTCTTTACACCCAGGGCATCTTTTCTTGCAGAGCAAGCCCACCGAGGCAGGGGCTGTGGCAGGAACCCTGCCTGGGCGGGGTGTGAACCTTGCGGCCGACCAGTCCACGCAATGTCCCCCCCCCCCCCCCGCCGCCGTCCTGGGTCTCCCCGGCCGCCCCGCCCTGCCCCCACTCTGGCAGAGTGATCAGGAAGGACTCTGCGTGTATCTATTTCTGCAGAGCAAAGGGCCAGCTTCCTGAGCTGGATCTCCAAATCCCTGTGGTATCCCCCGACAAATATAGCCTGTGGCCACAGCCGCGCGTTGGCTCTGTTGAGGTGGAGAGGGATGATTCTCTTCTTGCTGTCTCTATGGAAACGGGGGCTAGGGTTCAGCGGGGCACGGGAATGCACTGTGGGGCCTGAGCAGTGTGGGAACCCCAGACCATGGGCCTCTGGAACGTTCCAAATGGGTGTTGCTCGAGGACTAGGAGCCACGGAGCAGGAGAGAGAAGAGGAGGGTGGGGCAGGGAGTCAGGGGACCCAGAGTCTAGTCCTGGCCACGTTCTTCTGCGGCCCCGAGGGGAGGCAGCCCCTGTCCCCTCTGTGCCTCGTGTCCCCATCTACAAGTGGGGAATGGTTCCCAGCAGGCGTCCAGAGGGAGCAGAAGCGAGAGGGCTTCCAGTATGACCCTCGATTGGAGAAACCCAATTGCCAGAACAGCAAAGGGCCATCCATTCAGATCCCTGACTCTGACCTGCTCATTCACTGTGGGGAGCTGGTGTCCACTGACCGAGCTTTCCCACCTCTGTGCCTTTGGGAATGCTGTTCCTTCTGCCTGCATGCTCTTCCCCCATTCCCCAGGGCCACACAGAGCCCTCCTTTTCCCCCTGCACGGGTGATTTCTCCCTGCCTCCCCCCCACCGACCTCCGAGGTTCCCCATCCCACAAAAACACCACTGTTTGGCCACTGTTCCTTGGGCATATGTCTCATGAAAGCCTTCGCGCTTGGCATTTCGTAGGTGCTCCATGAATGCAGTGTTGATTTGGGGCGTGTGGAGTACGTTGCCTCGGCCAGTGACCTGCTGGGTTTTCAAGGGCAGGGCTCAGACCTCACAGGTCCCAGCCAGTGGTCCCGGCTGAAGGGGCCTCGACCACCCTCCATCACCCTCCATCAGCGGGTGCTCACCCGCCCCACAGGCTCCAGGAATGCAGCCCCTCAGCCCCACCCAGCCGCAGTCACAAACTGCTAGGCCTTTCAGCTGGTGACCCCTGCTAGATGTCAGGGCCGCTTTGCTTCTCTGAGCCTCAGCGTTGCCGTGTGTGAAATGGGAGTGTGGGGGCTCACTGATCTCTGTGCACAGTGACCATAAAACTTCCTGCCCTCCGAGGGCCCTTGGGAGTGAAAGGGAGCCCCACCTGGCAGGGCCAGATTCTGGGGCCTCCCGGTGGGTGGGACACACATTCACCCTATTGAAACAATGCAGAGCCTCCCACCAACCTTCCCTGTCCCATGACCTGCTGCTCCCTGGGGTTATCCTACCTGTGTTCGTGAGCACGGCTGGTGCTTACGTTTGGAAGCATTGCGGATTTGAGCTCCTTGCAAGGTCTATCAGGTGGTGACGGCTTTCCTTTTTTCCTGAACAGGGAGACTACGAAGGTGAAAACGTGGATTTCAATGACAGAAAAGTAAGTGGATGCAGAGCAGATGGAGGGCCACGGGCGGGACAGGGCTACGTGGTGGCCCGTGGGGCAGCAACCCTCCCGCCCCATGTCTGGGGGGACAGGGCAGAACTCCAGCCCGCTGGTGTGCACCCCTCTCTCTGCGTCTAAGAGGTGTCCGGGCGGGTTTTGGGGAACGTGTGAAAGCAAGGGTGTGTTTCTCTACCTTGGCCTTTCCTGCCGGCCCCAGAGAGCCACAGCCCCCTCCACACACTGGGGAGACTAGTGGACGTGGTTCAGCCCTGTTTCTCAAACTTATTTGATCTGGAGCCCTTTCTAATGGAAAGGGTATTGAGCTGGTGTTCCTGGGGTTATGCCTTTGGGGACACCGAGTGATCTGTTTATGGTTCAGTGCTCTCCCTGATCCTATGTATCTAGGCTCCCTGCCTCCCCACCCCCACCATGGCCACTTCTCTGTCCTCCTCACTCCGGAAGGTTCTTCTCTGCCATCCTGCCGTCCTGCACACAAGCCAGTGCCTGGCTTCCAGCCTCCTCCCCGTGCCCACCTTGCCCTCTCCCGCTTCCCAAACAAGTGCAGACTTCCTTCAGCTTGGGGAACAGACCTCCTGGGCCCGTGTTTGCCCCTCAAGAGCAGATCCTTCAGAGGCAGTGGGTGGAGACGCTTCTCTGGGAACCTCACAATGGTGGCCTTGTCCCAGATCTCGGGCTGGGAACCTCTGTGTATGGAATGTTCTCCATTCCTGCCTCCCACCAGCCCCCCATATGTGTTTTTAAACCTCTGGTACTGGATACAACTTGCCCGCCCGGGAATCCGGCTGAAGATGCTATCTGATTTAGCTCAAAAATGACATATTTGGTTATTTTTAGTGGAACATCTGGCAATCGTCTGAGATCCAGTGACTTGCAGACCCCCCCCCCCCCCACCACCCAATTCAATCCCACTGGAGAAGCACCGTCTCCTCCCCAGGCCTGCCTGGGCCAACTCAGGCCTCGGAGTCCATCCTCCTTCATGCCTTTGTGCCCCTGTGCCAAGTGTCTGGTGCCTTCCCTCCACAGTGACCCCCTTTCAGGTCTAATTCATAGGCCACTGTGGCCTTCTTCCCACCCGCCTCCCTGTGCACCAGCCACGCTGACCACCTCACTAATCTGAGACTACTCAGCTAGTGGTCACACGCTGCCAAAACGATCTCATTCACTTACTTATTCAGGAGCTACTTACTGGACACCAGGCCCAGCAAACATGACTCCAGGTTTGTCCGGACCCACCTGTTCCCACTGCCTGGAATGGTGCCCACCCTCCATCCCCCCCACCCCCATTGAATTTAATGTACCAGCTGTGAGTACCAGGCTTGGCCCATGGGGGTAGTCCAAGAGCATAGGATGGATGATGGGTGGATGGATGGGGTGGATAGATGGGGAGATGGATGGGTAGTTGAATGGGTGGATGATGGGTGGGTGGGTGGATGATGGCTGGATAGATGGAGAGTTGGATGGATGAATGGATGATGGGTGGCTAGATGGGGAGATGGATGGATGGATGGGTGAATGACGGGTGGATGACGGGTGGGTGGGTGGATGATGACTGGATAGATGGGGAGATGGATGGATGGGTGGATGGATGATGGGTGGATGATGGCTGGATAGATGGGAAGATGGATGGATGGGTGGATGATTGATGGATGGATGATGGGTGGTTAGATGGGGAGATGGATGGGTGGATGATGGGTGGATGGGTGGACAGATGGAAGGGAGGGAGGGAGAGAGGGAGGAATGTTGCAAATAGGTGTTTGGGTTTTAATTCAGAGCCTTGGAGAACTTTTCGTCCTCCCAAGTGGCTCCATCTTAAGTGACCTGGTTCTGAGTATTTTGCTTTTCCAGTGACAAAATCAGTGGTCCCACTAGTGGCAGGGAGCCCCCCGTGCCTGGCCCTGGATACGTCACAGGATGGAGAGGGGAGTGCAGCGAGGCCAAGGCCATTTTCCTGTGCCGAGCTGGAGGAGCATACGTAGGAATGCTTAAGCAAAGAATCAGGCCAGGGCCAAGGCTGAGCATGGTCAGAACAGTCATGGATACTCGGGGCCCTTGGGAGCGGGAGCCTTCCTTTGTCCGGGGACATGGAGCGGGGCAGCTACTCCAGATGTGGATTGAGTTGTCTCCATCCTCATGCTGGACTGAGAGCCACAGGACCCTGACCTATCATTCCCTCTTTCCCTCCTTCCTTCCATGGTTACTTACTGGGACCCTGTTATCTGCCCCAGGCCCTGTGCGAGGTTCTGGGGATAACGTGGACCAGGCAAACCTGGCCCTCGTGGCCTCCATTCTAGGGAGAGGTGGCAAGGGGCAAGTGCATACACAGTAATTGAGGACAGCATCTGTGCCGTAGCAGGCCCGCCCAGCCGTGTGGGCCCAAGTGGGAGGTCGGGCCGGAGAGACGCCGGTGGGTTGAGCCAGGCTCCCTCTGAGGTCCGGGGCCACTGTGCCCCGTTGGCCCACCTCAGGGCCTGACACCTCCCGCCCTGCTTGCAAGGCTGAGGTGCACCCTCGGAGCTCTGCCAGCCATAACAGGGAAATCTTGACTTTGACTTCTCCACTCTGCCAGCTGCAGGGTGATTAATGTTCCCTTCTTGGCAGGAAGAACGCTCCCCCGAGGTAAAGCAGTCATGAGGAGAGCCAGGGTGTGTACCCCCAGCTGTCCCACGTACCCGTGAACGTCACGCGGGGAGCAGCGTGACGAGGCCATGCCTTTGAGAAGGGCCTTCTGTCCCCCAGCACAGTCTTTGACCCCCTCTTTCCCTCCCTCCTCCCTCCTTCTGCCCCCATCTCTGGTGCGCCTCCCGGCCTGCGTGTGGTCTGTATCAGCAGCTTGATTTCGATGGAGGGGAGGGAGCTGCCCAGGTCAGTGATGGCCGCTTTGCTTTCCCAGAGGTGGTCTGTACGCTCATCCAAGTTTGCTGTTTGCAGAGTGACACTGGGGGCTTTTCGCTGTTGTCCGCATAACCAGGCCAGCCGGGACGTGGCGAGCCTCAGCGCTGTGGCTTTTATGAGGCATAAGCCCTTGGGGATCCCCCTCTGACCCGGGAGGAAGGACAGTCTCCACCAGAATAACGGAGGCCATGGGCTCAGAGGGGAGGGTCTGCCCTGGCTGCCCAGCAGGACTCAGAGGGGAGGGGGCCCTCCCAGGACTTAGGACTCAGACTCAGTGCCCAGAATGCCTGCTAGAGGCCCAGCAGAGCCCCATTCCCGCCCAGGAGTGGTGTCTTTAACTCCCGCCTCTCTCCTCCGAGACAGAGGGGTCCCCCATGCACCCCACTTCCTCAGGAGGCCACAGAGGTCACCCACCAGCAGCCAGCCTTGCTGTTAGTCCTTCAGGACGTGGACCCTGCCGAACACATCCCATGTAGCACTTACAGAAAGACGTAAAGTCTTTTTAGCGATCAGAGCAGACGTGCGTGTTGACTTTTGAGGAAACACAGCACTTGTGTTCTGCGTAGTATTTCTCAGAGCTGACTCCCTGGTCTGTGGGTGCAGGACCCCTCCCAGCAAGCCTTCGTGCGCACTGTTAATTTTCGGAGAATTACCTAAAGATATCTGTGCACATAAAGCCGTCAGCTCCGAACTGCGGGGAGGTGGGGGCAGGTGCATCTGTCAGCATGGGCTGCCGTAGTAGAATACGCCGGCCGGGGCCTAAACTGTGGGGAGCTCATGGGGCAGTCTCCCGCCTGCCTCCCTCCCGTTCCCCGTCCGATGCCAGCAGGGGCAGGCGGCCAGGCACAGGGGGCCCCAGCTGTGTGACTTAGGCTTTGAGTTAAGGCTGGTGAAGCATCATTGACCCACATGGGTGGGATTTCTCTCTTAACACCACCAGTCCCAACGTGGTATCTTTCTCATGACACTCTCTGCGTGTTCGTACAAGGTTTTCGATCCATCAAGCTCATTACCATCCCTGCCCAGAGCCTGGGGGGTAATGGGCTGTGTGTAGATTTCATTTATTTCACTAAGCCATGTTAATCAGACAGCCCATCTCAGGAGAGTTTTGAACGCCTTGCCACTGGTATTTCTCTGCTCCACAGCGTGGTGGTCTCTGTCCTTTATAAAGAACGACACGGTGTCTGACAGGGCAGGGACAGCCGAGAACCCTACGTGGAAAAGTCTCACAGGGTCGGGCCATTTTAGATCAATTCTGGATCAGATCATGAAGAGTGAGGCTTCCATAATGATTCCAGAAGCTTCTGTCCTGTCCAGCCCGTTCTTACTCCGGTGTCAGCTCAGCTCCTACCGCCGGTGGGTTCTGTGAGACCCTTACCGGAGCTGAAAGGTTCCTGTGGGTCTCCCCTGCCAGGACGGGAGCCCTGGGGCGCAGGGCTGTGTCCGCCGTGCTCACCTCTGGAAGCCCAATGCCCAGCACGGTAGCTGGCACATGGCGAATCTCAAGAACTATTTGTTGAATGAATGAATGATGTCCCTGTGAGCTGAGTACACCAGCTCTGGGAAGCAAAGCTCCATTTCCACAAGCCCTCACCACTTGCTCTCCCCCAGCTCCTGTACCAAGAGTGGGCGAGCTATGGGGTCTTCTATAAGTACCAGCCCATCGACCTGGTCAGGTAAGAGGGGACGCCAGGTAAGAAGGGGTGGGCCTGGCTGCTCAGAGGCTGCAGGGGGCGAGTCCCTGGTTGGATGTCAGTTGGTTTGGACCGCACTGAATATGCAATACCTGGGAACCTGTCTGAACTTGAGGAGCTTGGGAAGGGGGCCCCAGGTCCCCTGCAGGCCCATAGACTCACTGGAGAATGGGCTCTTCCCATCATGTTCACCCTCTTCTCCTGAATGCCCAGCCCTGCTCACCCGGCTGGGTGGCCGTTGCATGGCTGGGTTGAGGGGAAGGAGAAAGCTGTCCTCACTCCTGGGGCAGGAAGGGGAGCAGATGTGTGTCCTGTGGGGAGACCTGTGGACCGGAGTCCAGCCCGTGAAAATTATTAACCCCCTCAAGGCACCAGAGATGCTGCAAGTGAGGAGGGTTGGTTCTCTTGGTGCCTCCAGGCCGGAGTTCATTCCAGCTCTTACACTGAGCGGGGACTTGGGACAGAGCAGACAACCTCCCAGGCAGCCCACCGCGACCGCCCCCCACCCCCGGGCCCGGGCCTCACAAACAGAATGGCCCACCTTCCCGGGGTGCAGAAGGGCAAGGGGCACCCCGCCCCTGACGGCTGGGTCCAGAGCCCCCACCCACTCTCAGTCCTGCTCAGGAGAAGCCGGGGCCCAGTTCGAGCTGCTCCTTGCCAGGCAGGGAGGTGCCGCACATCCCGCACGGGTTTGCAGTGAGCATAAGCTTGTCTCTGTTTGGCTTTGCCCTGCGGTGCAGGAAGTACTTTGGGGAGAAGATTGGCCTGTACTTCGCCTGGCTGGGTGTGTACACCCAGATGCTCATCCCCGCGTCCATGGTCGGCATCATCGTCTTCCTGTACGGATGTGCCACCGTCGATGAGAACATCCCCAGGTAGGCGGGCAGCCCCTCCCTGCACACGCCCTCTGCTCGCCGGGGAGCCGCGTTCCTCCTGCGGCCGGCTGGCCGTGGCTGGCGGGTCCTTGAACCTGCAGGCCTGCCCCCCCCGCCGCCCCAAGGAGGGGGCAGCGCCGTCTGAGAGCGCGGACGACGGCTTTTCCAAGCACAGACGCCTGGGAGACGCTCTTGTCCGGAGGATGATGTAAAATAAGCATCCAGCTCCTTTTCCTTCTTTTTTTTTCCTTCTTGGAAGGTTTTTTGCCTTCTTTTAAATGAGTTTTCAGTCCTTCAGTGACAAGGAACATCGCTGCTTCCTAGCAAGCTCAGGAGATGAGCCAGAGGGCCCTGCCGAGGTCTCGTGCGTGGACTCCGCCCGCCGGGTCCCTTTCTCTGCGCTGGCTTCCCTGTCCCTGTGGCCCCAGGGGGCTTCGCAGTCACAGAGCTGATGCTCCTGCTTCGGTTCCCCGAGGGTTACATCAGGCATGGGGAGCTCTTGGAAGAAGGCCGGGAGCCCCGAGACGGCCTGGCCTTGTGCTGGGGTGTGGTTCTCCCAAAATGGCAGCCAGAACATGAGTCAAGCGGTGGGAGCCCGGAGGCCATGGTCCTCGGTGGGTACGGGAGTGTCCTGTCTCTCCCCGCTGTGTGCCAGGGCCGCGAGCCCTGAGCCAGAGGTGACTGTGTTGTGTGTTCCAGACGACAAGCCCCCGCCTCGGTCAGGGACGCTGCTGCCTGGCCCGCCGGCCCTGCCTCCCACGAGTGTGCAGGCTCTCGGGGAAGTCCGGGGACAGCAGTTCAGTTCTATCTCTTACAACTCCGCCCCATGTCTCCAAAGCAGAGCCGCGACTTGGAAAATTCATCTGTAGTCCCAGTCAGTAAAGATCAAACGAGTCTCTCACCTGGCCAGGAGACCGGCTCGTTACAACTCCACAGCACAGAAAGGCCATATCCGGCAAATTTCTGTGTAAATGATGCTTTGATGCATGAGTAACACCTAAAATATTTCCACCCACCCGGGATCGAAACGTTAAAGGAATCTGGCTTACGTCCCCTCCAGGGCTATTTTGGGCACGGACAGAGCAGAGGAAGCTTAGTCCCCTTGTTGGCTAACGTGACATGAGACCACTGTGCTTGGGTCTGATGGTGGCCATCAGGGTAGCCCAGGTGTGATGCGGATTTAGTTCCAAAGCCCCAAGGGACGTGGCGAGTGGCAGGGCCCCCTGGGGGCTTCACCTCCCTTCCTCCCTCCCTCCCCCCACCCCCCCAAGAGGCAGCGCTGCCAGGAGAGCCTCAGCCAGGAGGCTCTGCCCGGGCATGTCTGCACAACCAGGGCGCTGAGGTCTCCGAGGCCAGGCCCGCGCCACCACGTCCTGACACATGGCCAGGGATGTGAACCGCATTCACAGCGGATTCTGGACACCTGTCCGACCTTGGCCTCGGCCGCCGCCCCGTTGGTGCCTTGGGCGAAGAAGGAGGTGTGTGTCCCCCTTGGAGTCCGATCTGTCCAAGTCTGTAGGGAAGCCGGTGGCCCTGCCCCTCGAGGTGCCGCCTGCCACCCCCACCCGGCCCAACCCCTCCAAAGAACAGACCTTCCCATTCCTTGTCTTTATTTTGGCTGTGGGTGATGAAGGGCGAGGCTGAGGGTTTAAAACCAGCAGAAAAAGGCTTTTTATCTGGCTGGCCTTGTTTATGCCAACGGGGAGGAGGGCTGGGCGGCGGGCAGAGCTGCACAGTCTGGCCCCTGCCCCCGCAGGGCTCCGGGCCCCCAGCTTCTGGCCAGGTCACCGGGGCCCCAGGCAGCGCAGAGACAGTGGGAGTCATTATCAGTGCCCCCCACACCTGCCACCACCCAGGAAGGGCCCTCAGAAGAGAGGGAGCTCGGCGAGGGGCAGGAAATAGACTGTTCACAGCAGCTGTCTGTGCTTGGTTACCGCCAGGGTAGTAACGGGGTTTCATGGGCGTTCCCCAGTTTCCCCAACGTCCCGACAGCATGGGCGCTCATTCCCAGCACCTCCATTCTACAGATGGGGAAACTGAAGCCCAAAGAGTTTGAGTCACGCCCAACCCCTGGCCACACAGATTACAAGTGGTAGAGCCGAGCCCTAAAGCCAGAGCTGGTGGGCTCTGGGGTCCACGCAGCCCCACCACCCGTGTGTGCCAGCCCTGCTCCCGCACACATGCACGCGCATGCACACGCACTTGCGCTCGCTTCCCAGGTGCTCCGAGGCAGCAGCCTCCTTGCCACGATCATCGTTCCACCTCGTGCCTGACACAGCGCCTGGCACACAGTGTTTTCAGAGCGTAACTGCGAAGAGAGCCGGACGCCCACCGTGCTGACACAGGGGTCCCCGAGAGCCTTTCAGCAGATGTCCTGCTGTGGGCCGTGCATAAGTTCGTGTGCATTCAGAAATAAGGAACAAAAACACCCCCCCCCCCTTCAGCCCCTGGGAATGAGCACTCCTGCCTGGGGTCTGTTTATAGCTCAGTGTCTTGTCCAAGTTAGCTGGGAGGAGAAAGTTCAGGGCAGGTAGAGCTGGAAGTGCCTTACTCTGGCCCCTCTCCTCATCTCCCAGAAGGAGAAACTGAGTCTGAGGCTGAAGGGCCTGGCCAGGGGCGCAGAGGGCAGGAATAGCCAAGGGAGGACCCAGGAGCAGTAGGTGAGAGCCTGCGGTCTCTGGGCAAGTAGACAAGAGCCATGAAGGAGCAGGGCCCAGTCCCCACTCTGCTGTGTGACCCTTAGCAACTTACTTCCCCTCTCTGGGCTTGCTTCATCAATGAAGATGGGATTGTAATAGTCCCCAAAGCTGGTCTGGGCCAGGTGGACGCATCTGCAGGCACACAGCTGGCAGCCTTTGAATTCTGTTGTCTTCCAGAATCAGCAGGAGAGAACCTGAGGGTCAGGGTGCTGGTGCAGGAGGGAAGGCGCTGGGCGTCGTGCACCTCCCCTCTGGTCCCTCCCCAGCAGCCGGGCTCCAGCCCCAGACTTCATGTCTGCCCAGCAGGATAAGAACCTGTGTTCTCAACGGGACCCACTGTCCCGGCCAGGCACCCCTCCGCTCCCGAGCGAGCCCTGCACGGTCGATGTCCCCCACCCCGGGCTGCCTGTCGACGTGTTCCCTCCAGCCCAGCTACCTGTCTCCCCTATGCGTCCAGAGCGCCCCAGGAGGCAGATGCCTGGGCAGCCCCCAAGGCCAGCTGCCCCACAGCATCCGCACCAGGACGAACGAGCCTGTATGCCCCGTGCCTGGGACACGCAGGGGCGCAGGAGGGCACAGCATATTTGTGGCTTCACCTGTTCCTGGAGCTGTCTTCTGGGGCTTTTAACGTGAGCACCCGGGCAGCTCCCGCTATTAGAACAAGCCCAGGCAGCTCTTGACAATTAGAGGAGGCTGGCTGCCGACTCCCATACAGGCTGTGGGTCCTGCTGCCTCAGGTACCCCCAAGAGGTGAGCACTCACGCGCCCCTCTCGGGCCACACAGCAAGTCTGGACAGGCCCACCCCCAGGGTCGGCTGCGGAAATTGCAGGCCTTGTGCAAAATGAAAATGCAGGAGCCCTGTCCAAAATGATGAAGAATTTTAAGGCGGTAACAAAGAGGCATGAAATCAAGCCAAGACCCTTCCTAGCACAGATCCCCTGGGACTGCCCGTACCAGCTGTGTCTGAAGCCGGCCCTGGAGAGTGTGGGGGGATGTGGGTGTTGGGTGCAGCTGGCCGGCAGGCCTTCCAGGGTCACCTCGCCGCCCCCCAGCTTGGCACCAGCATCCTCTCCCACCCCGGCGTGGCTCCCGGTGCGGAGTCCCTACGCGTCCTGGCCCCGGGGACCTACAGGCCGCTCTCTGTCTTCCAGCATGGAGATGTGTGACCAGAGACACAACATCACCATGTGCCCGCTGTGCGACAAGACCTGCAGCTACTGGAAGATGAGCTCGGCGTGCGCCACGGCCCGGGCCAGCCACCTCTTCGACAACCCCGCCACCGTCTTCTTCTCGGTCTTCATGGCCCTCTGGGGTAAGCAGAGCCTGGCCACCCTGGGTCTGTGGGGCAGGGGCGACTTCGGCTGGGCTCCGACGTGAGATTTCGCACGGCAGCGTTGGCCAGGAATGAGCGTGGGAGGGGGAGTTGGGGGAGGCGACAGCCCGTCGTGTCTGCAGGTGAGGGCGCTCTGGGCTGCGTCCTGGATGCAGACTGGTTCTTCTGACCTCTGCCTTATGAAAGGCGGAGGCGGGTGCATTGCTCTTAGGAGCAGGCCCTCTTTCCTGGGACCAGGATCATTGGCCCAGGAGTGCCCGGCAATGCTGGGAAGGCCCTGGGGCACATCTCTCCTTGGGTCCTCGCAGCGCCCCTGCAGATTCCACGTGCCCACTTTACGGGGGAGGACGCCAAGGCCCAGAGACAGCTGATGTGAGTTTCCCAGGGTCACTCAACTCCTGATGGAACGTGCGCTTTCTAGAGCCGTGCCCTTAACTCCACTATCACCCCGAGTCCAAGGCACACGGCTCATCCTTCAGGATGCTTCCCCACTCCGGCACCTGACTCAGATGCTGGGGGCATGGGAGGTGGGTGAGTGGTGCCTGGATGCACTTTTGCAGATGTTTTTGGATTATCAAACTGGCCCGTTCCTCCTCTGGGGCCCTGTGTTACCCCTTTGCCAGGGGAGGATTCAGGATTCGGGCCCTGGGCAGCAGCGAGCGGAGCTGTCCCGTGGGTGCCAGAGCCCCGGGCCTTGCCCCCAGGGACCCCCTTCTAGTAGGAGATGGAGCTGGACACAGAGAGGGCACGGAGCTAAGGGTCAGGATACCTGCGGAAGGAAGTCAGGACGGACTTCCTGGAAGAAGTGTGAGCCCCTCGAGCGGAGTTCTGAAGGTGTTGAGGGCAGAGGTGCTGAGCATTTGCGGTGCGGGGACTCAGTGTAGAACCGGAGGGGCCTGGGAATAGCCCCGCTGGTGGGTCTCGGAGCCTCACGTTGCTGCTGAGGGGCCTCTGCCCGGCTCTGCACACACAGCATCAGCCCCGTGCTCGGTGGGCGTGCGAGGGGCAGTGGTGGGCTCAGAAGCTGCTCGTTTTGCACATGGGGATGGAGGCTGCCACCGGCCGGCCAGGTGTGTGGCTCTTACCGGTCAGTGTGATCTAGACGTGTGAGGATCGGGTCAGAGATTTCGGTTCCCACGCTCCATTGCTGAGCGGAAGCGTTGTCAGTCTCGCACCAGAACCCTCAATTCAGGAGGGTGTTTCAGAACCGCAGAACCCTCGAAGTTGGGACCTGGCCTTCCCAACTCGGCAGCTGCCCCGGGGAGGCTGGAGGCTCGGGGAGGTCTGTCATCACGGGAGAAAAGGGACCACGGAGGCAGAGCCAGCTTCCGTGGCAGGACAGGGCTGATGCCTGGATCCTCACCGGGCCTGAGCTGGCCCCTGCGCAGCCGGGCAGCCTCCCTCCCTGCCCGAGACGGTCTATTCAGACCCGAGGTGGTGTTTGAGCAAACTGTTAGTGAGGAAAGGGAGCGGCAGGTGTCCCTGGGGGGCTGAGGGTGCTGCCTGGCCTGGTTTCCCTGGAGCGGGGGGCTCAGGGTGGGCTGAACCTGTGTGGTTTGGAGGCGGGGGAGTGCAGAGGTGCTGAGAGATGCCTCGGGAGACCCGGGAAGGGCGAGGAAGGCTGAGCAGCGGGGCTGGTTCCTCAGTCACATTTCCACACTTGCTGGAAACCGAGTGGGGGGCGACAGGCAGCACCCACCAGCTCTGGGACGGGTCCTGCTGAGGATGTGAGCTGGAGCATCTCCCATTAGATGCTCGGAATCAACCACCCCACCCACCCACCCTCCAATCTAGAGAGCAGCTTGGTGTTCTTAGCAGGAGCCCCTGCCCATGGGTCTCCTGCCCCAAGGCTTCATGCCCCAGGCCCGGCGCTTCATCCCCCACCTCTGGCTGCTTGCTCGGGGGTTGATTCTCCACAAGCACCCTCCAGTGGGCCCCTGGCCAGCGCTCCTGGCCCCTTCAGGGTCCCTGGGCCCATGTGGCTGCCAAGCCAGCACCCAGCAGTGGTCCGTAGGGTGACCCGTGAGCAAAGGTGACCTGGCGGTGTTGGACACCTGAACTGCTAGACGACGCCGTGCCCCTCTGACTGTCGGCCTGGGACGCCCAGGGAAGCCCGGGAGGCAAACTGATGATTCCGCCGCCCTTGGAAGCTTATAATCCAGGATTCAGGCGGGAGCAGCATGTGCAAGGGCCCAGTGGTAGGTGGGCGGGACCTGGTGAAGGAGCCTGCTGGGGGCAGGGAGGAGGTGGGAAGGGTGCAGGGGGATCCCAGAGACCCAGCAAGGGCCCTCTGGAAAGAACTCCATGTTCTCACCGGGAGGAATCAGAAGCCAGGGCAGTCGGTCTACGGTATCAAAGGTGTTTTCATGTCTTATCCTTGAGTCAGAGACAGCATGTGTAAGAGGCAGCTTGGGAGGGAGTGGAGGGAGGTCTGACCCAGCTCAGACAGGGACAGTGGCCAGGGGGCTCTCGAGACCAAAGTGAGCTCCGCGGCAGGTGCTTGGGCCAATGGTGAGAAGCCGGGATATCCCGAGGGGGGCATGGGGTGGGCACGGGGTGGCCACAAGGGGAAGGGGGCCCGTGGGAAGGACCAGAGCCACAGTCAGGAGACCTTGTCACTCCCTCCCCAGTCCTGGGCTTCCCGATTTTGTCCCACCCATTCCCACTTACCCCATGGGAAGCTCTAGGAGGAACCCAGCCCCAGACTCCAGGTGACTATGCCTCCAAACCGAGGGCCCCCGATGGGGAAAGGACATTTTGATCATCGCAAAGGACTTGGGCGCCTGTTTCCGCTCTCATGAGGGCCGTTCCCAGGGTGAAGACGCTGGCAGGCATGGCTGAGCGGGCTTCGTGTGAAGCCCAGGGGTACAGTTCCAGCCCCCGCCCCACTGTGAACCAGGGGTCTCAGCCTCCGGGTGGGGAAGAAGCAGGCCCCCTGCGTCACTGGTGCACATACGTCCCCTGCGGCCAGCCCCCCCGCTCCCCCCGGACAGAGCGTAACTTAGAGGTGCGTGGCCTGTCTCCTCGGCCAGGCACCACCCAGGGCCGCCTTTCTCCCGCGCGGTGAGGGAAGCCAGCAGCGGCCCGAGCTCGGCGCAGAGCCGTCTTAGGCTCTAATTACCGGGCCTCCAGCTGAAAGCTGTCCGTGGCGAGTCGTGCTGCCGAGCCCTGAAATCTCCATGGGCTTCCGGCCGTCGCAAGTTTTGTCTTGAGTACTAACACCTTCGCTGTCCCCTGAAGGAACGGGCGTGGGACGTGTGGGGCGCGGCACTTCCTTCTCAGGCCGTCACCCCAGAGTGCACGCAGGTTGTGCCCAAGTCTGACAGGGGCGGGTCTGTCACCGCCCGCAGCGGTCAGGAGGAGGCGGGCCAGTCTTGTCCCTCACTCGCTGGGCTCGGAATGGCCCTGAGTGCCTGCAGCCTGTGCACGCTCGGATAATAGAAAGTATCGGGACTGTCCATCCACCCCGGCTCCCAGGAGCTCCTGCCCAGACCCAGCCCAGCCCAGCCCTCTCTCCCGAGCGGCTGCGGCTCTGGGCTCATCTGTCCCACTTGTCGGAGCAAAGGTTCTGGGCCCTGAAAGTTTAAAACCCAACAGTCTCCCCGTGGTTCTCACACTGGGTTTCCCACCCGACAGGACAGTTACCCCAGGACGAGGGTGCAGCGAGGTGCCTGGACCCAGCGCCCTCGCTGGAGCCCCCTCTCAGGGCCCACCCCACGCTTGCCCGCCCCTGAGCCCGTCCGCAGGTTTTGCACGATGCACGCCTCCCCTGCCTCACCCAGTCCTGGCTTTGCTTTAAAATGGCCGTAGCCCTCTTACCCATTTTTCCATTTGGGGGTTCATCTAGGGGTTTTGGGGAACACGGGAGTTCCGCTGAGAAGGTCTGAAACCTCTTTTCTCCAGTGAGGACCGGGGGGCCAGGAGAGGGACTTAGCAGCAGGTGCCTCGGGGGTGTGAGCCACATCGGCACATACATGTTGGCAAAGACAGGCACTTGGGAGCCACGGATTGTGCTGAGCTCTGCCTTGCGAGGTGCGGCCGCAGAGCGAGGAGGCAACACCTGCGTTCCCAGATGGCTGCTCAGAGCGGGAGACAGACACAGGCAGAAATAAGCATAGCCTCACAATGAACGCCGTCGTGTCCCTTGGAGGGCAAAGGCAGTCTTCCGAACGAGGCCGCGAATGAAACTGTAGGTCACCAGCTCAGCACGGGGAGGGTTTCCAGCAGTGAGCACTGTGTCGCACTAGGGAGGTGGTGAGTGCCCTGGCCTGGGAGGCATTCAAGCTGTGTTGGAGGACCACTTGCTGGGGCTGCTGATCTGTGTGGTTCCACTGCCTGCGCTCGCCTCTCTGGACCCTGTGTCCACCGGGAAGCACCTCCGAGCCACCCACTGCCCTCTGCTCCTCATTCTCAGCCTCCCTGGCTTCCTCAGGACCTCAGCACTGGTCAGCTGTCCCCTACCCCCCAGCCTCTCAGGTCTGGGCCCAGGAAGCTCCCAGCGGAAACAAAGACCTGCTGGCTGGGCGCACAGCCTCCTGGGTCCCTGCCCCGAGCCGGGAAGACTCACCAGGCAGCCCAGTGGAGCTCAGCTTGTCCAGGCTGCCGGCTTGACACTTGGGTCCGAGCCGGTACTCAGCCGGGTGGGCTCTGTACCAGGATGGGCGGATACAGGGAAGCGGTTAACGGCGCCGCCATGTTCTGGGCTGGACCCAGGTTCAGACCTCTTAGCCCGTCACCTAGCAGCTGTGTGACCTCAGGCAAGTGGCTTCTGCTCTCTGGGCCCCAGGTTCCGCATTTGTAAGATGGGGGTAATAGTGCAAGCTGCCTGGAGCAGTGCCGGGGCCCCGAAGGCGTCGTTCCTTGTGACATCCTTGGGGCCGTGCCTGGTGCCGGCGGTCACGTTGTGTTAGCTGTTACGTCGCTTCGGTGAGCGCTTGCTTATTGGAAATGTGAGAACAGCCTGGACCAAAGGAGGCTGG